TCATGCATGTTACAGGTTAGACTGACAGAATTTCACTGTAGATCAATTGATTTTTAATTGAACTAAGCACCGCCTTAACATTCTTACTATGTTAGTATTGGGACTGAAAATCACGGCCGTCGTGTTGGAACTGAAAGATTTGTTGTAAGTATTTTGACTCAAATTATCAAACTTCAATACCACAAAATGTACGAGCAGTTTGAAAAGGAAAATATACGCAGATCATTGATTAGAAAATCTTCTCTTAACCTTGGAAATAGTGTCACAATACAACATAAGAAAAGTCTAAAAGTGTTTAAAGAACTAGTTTAAAACCATTTGTTTAATAAAGCACGTTATCTCAGACTAGAATTTCAATTAGTACGTTATACGGTTTTAATTCAAATTCGCAATTAGCAGTATTATAACAGCATGGTCATGCTTAATTTCATGATGTAAGTTTCAACTGGAAGTACTACCAAAGTGGTCATACATGGAAAACAAACATGTTCAAACTTTAAGAATAGAATTAATGTACAATGTAAATACCGATAACGACATTATTCATAGATCTTACTAAAATGCTAAAATTAATTATATTTCTTTTCTAGTGGCAGTCTAAATTTAATTCCTTCACCCTTGTTGACCTATCGTGATAAACCAACTTTTGTTTCATTTTTTATTTTTCTTCTCTTGAATATGCATTAGATACTAGTCACTGTCAAAGTATCAATCATCAACGTATTTGATCTATGACACAGTGTAAATACAAAATCAAGAAAACAAGGGCGTTGGATGTTAAACAATTTCAGAAAGACACCATACCCTTGGACGAAATACCGCCAAAGACAATAACGAGGACAAGTAAATGAAATAATTTTGTAGTAAGGTATACAATGCAGAACGGAAATATATATTACAAAATAGATAATTATGTTGTTCATAGTACAAGAACAGAACTTGTCAAAGGTAGCAAATATTAAAAATATCATACTCATAAAAAAAAATTAAATAGAACAGGATTGTACTATAAGAAGAAATAATATAAGTGATCCACAACAACAATTTGGAGGAACTGAAGATAGACAATGGATAGAAATAAGTACTTTAGTTTGCAGATATAACTCGTTCAATGTCATATACAAGTTAACCCCGAATATATTCAGATAGAGAAACAAGATAGAAGGTAAGATTGTATATTGTGTAATATGTTAAAGTTTCAGATTATTCTGTCAGACAGTAACGGAAAAAAACGGGCGAACATTCGAACAGACAACCAGACGGACTACTCAATCACTAAGTAACGCCACTGTAGAAAACGGAATGCAAAATTTACCAATGAAAAAAAATTGGAACTAACACACAAAAAACATGTTCAAGAAAAACCAATATGTTATTTAGCATGTTTAGCTGGTAAAAAAAGATGACTCTTAAAGCTGTATAAATTCTCTAAGGCGATTGCAACACTGAAAATTTAACAGAAAAAGCCTATTCCTAGTCATAAATGAAATTCAGTACAATTGTCTAATTTGAATTGGCATGTAAAACGGACGGATATTCTTTCTCATAAAGTAAAGAAAACAATGTAAATCAGACGAGACAAGAACTGTCGAAGGGGTCATAATTAAATTGCAACATCATGTTCCCGTCCTGATATGCAGGTTATAAATTCAATTAGACAACAAAAAAAAAAAAAAACAACAAAAAACAACCAAACAAATAGACGCATCCATTCATCAGCATTGAAGAGAAATTCCAGACAATTCGTATTTTGTCAAATGTTATCCCCTTTTTTGCGTTATTGATTTGTATGTCTCATTGTTTACTGAATAATTAATGTTTACAGTGTGTAATTCTGGTTAACAATCTATTCTTACTTCTTGTTTTGCCTTCTCTTTGACTATTGAGCAGTACATCCTCTCTCTTCAGCACTGTCTTCGTGATAGAAAGCCCAATATATATTTTGAACAAAATCACATTCAAACATTAACTTTGCCGGGTTTACATTGGGAGTGCCTGTATCTGTTTACTCAAATTGGAGCCTCCAATTCATTTTTGTTGTATGAATATTCATTTGCTGCTCCAGAGCCCTGATATCCCAAATTTGCGATGTGGTTCGTACTGATGTTTGTCTATTGTTCACTTTTTTCTTATTCTGCCATGGTGTTTTCAGTTTATTTTTGACTTATGAGTTTGAATATATATTTAGAATCTTTCGCCTCTCTGTTGCATTTGTCCAATATTTTATTATGTAGCTATCATTAAAAATTTGTTCCAAGTTCAGAGGTTTTGGACAAACATATGAGAAACATATTACTAGATACATTTATTCAGGACAAATGCAAATCATATAAAAACATATGTTCAGGAAAAATGAAAATCATGAAAAATATATAATCGTTAACATTATATGAAAAACACATATTTTTCATTTGTTTACACATATGATAAACATATGTTTTTCATTTGATTTTAAACACGTATTTTTTCATATGATTTTTAAACACTTATGTTTTTCATATGAGTTTTAAACACGTATGTTTTTCATATGATTTTAAAACACGTATGTTTTTCATATGATTTTTAAACACGTATGTTTTTCATATGTTTCTCATATGATCAAAAACATATGTTGCCAACGAACCATTTGTTTTATTTGCTAATTTTAAAACAAATGTGTAAATATCCATCTGACAAGGTTCGCCGATATTTCGAATAACAAAAGCAGCTACACCTTTTTGTAGTTTGTGCATTCTTCCGATTTTGCCCTTGTAACCTTAAGAACTGACTTGTCAAAATTCACCAGATGCGCGTTCTTAACGTTAGAATCGTCAGTAACGCTAGAATAATCAAAGTAGGAAAACCAATGTTGAAGAGAAGAACAAAACAGCAAATTATTAGTGTTATTGGAGTATTATCCATGATATCGGCATGCTGAAATGTTTTTGTTTTTTACGGTATACATGTTGAAAACCAATATGATCAAGAGATTTTTTTCTGCAGTCAACTAGAATTCCTATAAACACTTGTCTGTGTATTCTTTTCCAATTGTTTTTGAAAATCTTATTATTGGATATTCAACAAACATTAAAAAAAAAAAAAATGTGTGAAGCAATTATTGTTTTTCCCAAAAGAGATCATTTCGATTAGGATTTCTTTTCATTACCTTTACTTCTTTAGATAACATGTATTGATTGTAATATAAGTGAATGCTTAGCGCACAGCATGTATGTTCTTATTAAGACTTTAGTAATATTTTCCAAATCTCAGCAGAAATAAATTTGATATTTCATTAGATAGTGCTTTTGTGTAAATGACTTACTATCGTTTAGACTAAAATACCCAGTTGGTTTATATTGTTCTCATTTTGAACTATTCTATTGATTACCTTTTGGTCTGTCCTAAAATTTCAACATTCAAAACTCTTGATAACCTTCTCACCAACCGTAAAGAAGGTCCTGCGTTCAATACCCTGCTAGGTCAAATATATGACTCAAACATTTACTAGTTAAAGGTTCATAATATTATCTCGTCAAAATGTTATCGTTCTGACATGTATGTTATATATGCCATTAGAAGTTTTCATTTTTGTTCAATACTCTGGCATATCAGATGCAGCTTAGCCAGTTCTTTGCTCATTAATAATATGATCAGCATCCACAATACAACATAATTACGTACTGTGGATTCATTTATTTTCGTGGGAACCAATTTTCGTGGAATATAGAAAAATTGCATTTTCGTGGATATTAAATTTCATAGTTTTGGCAAAGTATGAATATATTCCTAAAAGAAATTTGTAATTCGTTGAACCTTTAAATTCGTTGTTCCCCTGTACCCACGAAATCGACGAAAATTGGTATCCAACGAATATTAATGAATCCACAGTATATTGTTAATGCGGTGACCGTGCAAATAGAATGGATACAATATAGAAGTAGAAGAGGTACATACAGTTTTGATAAATATGAGCAGTCAAATCAGTGTTAACATACAGCACAGATATATAAATACAAATGACTCAAATATTCAAACAAATATACAAATAAATCTGACAAATACGCCAACAAAACAAAGTTGTTTTTGTAGCTGATAGTACATTAAGAATAGTAAAACATAATTTCATATACACTTTCATGATATATCACAAATTAAGTAGAATATGAAAACATGGGTGAACAAATGAAAATAAAATAAAAAAAAACTCATGCGTCCGAATCGTACCTCTAGACCCATCCGCATCAGGAACAGCCGATGCAAAAACACGTTAGCTGGATACTTAAAATCCAATTCACGTCAAGAGGCATACGAATAAATGGAACATAATGGTACAAAACAAATAAAGGAAACACTGTAAAGAAAATAAAACGATACACAACGTCAGCACATATAATCTAAAATTCAAGACCATCCTGTATTATTTGTGAAGTAAACACTTAATATGTATCTATTAGGTCTTGGTAATTGCCGCTGAACTGGGACGGGACTTTATTATTTGACAATAACCCTGGCTCATTTATGTTCGCCCAGGCACCGATGATTTTTTACAAAATAAATACCGTGTATGTATCTTAAGGTGGTACCTAACACTACAGGGAGATAACTCTGTAAAAATCAGCTAAACGTTTTAATTACGTTGTATTGTTAAGGAAATATTAAGCTTCTCAATGATCAAAATAAGTGTTTGTCAAACTGCTATATAACCAATGAAATTTTTCTGATAAAGTGGTTGGTTTAAATTTTTTGAAATTTTTATATTTTTGTCAAAGGGTCAAAGTAAACTTTTTGTCAAAATTTTATGAAAATTAAACGAGCCAAATTAATATTAGTCAAGGTGTTGGGTACCACCTTAATACCCGGAGAAGTTTGAATATTACTGCTTGGTTTATTATTACACCTTATCCCATTTGTAAAGGACACACACATATATAAATGAAAATTGCTGTAATCAAGTCAAGTTAAAAGTAACTCAGTATACGTGTTATCTATAATTAACAATCAGCAATAGAATGATCTGAATTGGCGGTTGCAGTAAAGGCCTCTACCAAGCAGTCTTTTTGGAAAGTTGCATTGCTGGTGATGATATTGTAATTGTTTTGCACCCTGTAAATATAACATGTGCTATTGTTAACAATGAAATATTACATATTCTTTATTCTTGGATTGTCAATATATTCGTGTTCGTATTTATAATTTATTGTAATGTGATACTTGCATTTGATTGTTTATTGTATATATTGTATATCTCCTTTGGTCAGTTCAAGTATGTGAAGTAATAATGGAAAGTATATAACACCTGAGTAAACATCCAGCACATTGATTTTTTACCTGACATTAAAAACCTGCCCTGAACAGTTACTGTACTTGCCCTCAAGTCCATATAAAAGTTATGCTGAAATATGTGTCAATCAACAAAGTCCATAAGTCACACTTAATTAGTTCCTTATAATTGAAATAATATTTTAATAACTCCTCGATGTCTTTCAGAACTCTCCATTTCAACTCATAATATGTAAAATTAAGCATTTAGTGCTTATACCAATAATATTATCAACATAATTCAAAGTCCTGTTCTACCCATTGTAAATAACTCCTTGTTTAATATTGTGTAGTGGATCCAGTTTTATACCGGTTTGAGTTAAAAAAAAACATAAATCATTAGTAAAATAAAACTTTTATTTTGTATTCGTCACTTAATTCGAAAACTTTTGCTCCATGCCTAAACCTAGACCCTTTGTTCGTACTGTAAAGTAGCAAAGATTAGACCCTTTGCTTGACAATACACTAATCCGATCGGAACGATGGTTTAAAAAAAATGCGAATGAAACGATGGTTTCATGAGCCTATGAGGAAGCCAAGTAGTGTTAATGTTGAATTGGTGTTGGAATGAATATGAATGAAATTTGACAGTTTGTATCCAGAAATTCATAGGAGATGAGTGAAAATTTTGAAACAATCAGTGACAAAAGTTCATAAATGCCCCAAAACTCAAATGGTAAGTTACAGATGAATGCCCCATGGATTTTTTGAGTAAGTGGATAAAACCACGAGAGAAAAAAAAACCAAACTCATAAAAGCAAAGGTAAAAGAAATCACATGAAATGGCACATTAAAGAAAACATTAGTAAAACAATATTATATTTCAACTACTTAATATATGAAAACATGCATATGAAAAACTTGAACATTAACATTTCCTTTAATTCTACCAAACCGACTTTGGGCACTTTTTATATATGCTAGTGTAACCCTTATGTATCTGATGACCAGCGCCCTAATGTTTTTATCAAATGAATTTTGGTGTGTGCTTTTCCAGCATAAGTAGCTGTCCAAATTATAAAGCCATGGCCATTATAGTGACTTGAGTTGAAGCCACATAAATCCAGTACTTTCTTAATACAGGTTACGAAATATTGTCTTTCTAGAGGTTCCTTATCAATGGCGAGGAAAAGTGAATATGTTGGATGCATTGGGGGTAAATGCATTTCTTATTTGTATATATTTTAATAAAATCTTTTATGGGCAAATTGCTCTACCTAATATATAAAGCTGAATGTTCAGGTTTTGATTGTTTTTATTTAGTTCGTTTAAGCTACAAAATCTTTAATTCATAGATTCATAGCTGGGTCAGGTTTTGAGGCCTTTGACACTGTCAACTCGGGACATCTAAAAAATCCATAAAATGGTACATTACATCTAGTTCATCACATCAAATAAACAACGTGTTTTTGGTGACAATTTACAATATTTGTCGAACCTTTCAAAAGTTATTGGTAATCTGATGTTATTTCTTTGTTTTTGCAGTCATTTACAAAATTTAAAACATAATCAATATAAATAAGAAGATGTGGTATGAGTGCCAATGAGACAACTCTCCATCCAGTCATAATGTAAAAAAAGTTAACAAGTATAGGTCAAAGTTCCGCCTTCAACACGGAGCCTTGGCTCACACCGAACAGCAAGCTATAAAGGGCCCTAAAATGATAGTGTAAAACAATTCAAACAGGAAAACCAACGGTCTAATCAATATAAAAAACGAGAAACGAGAAACACCTACGAACCACACCAACAAACGACAACCACTGAACAACAAAGCTCCTAACCAAGGACAGGTGCTTAAAAATGGAGCGGGTTTAAACGTTTTAACAGGCGCTAACCTTCACCCTAACCCGAGACAGTAGTGTAACATTACAACATAAAAAGACACACTAATAAATATCAATTGAAATGAAATTGAAACTCGATCAAAAAGACATTTAAACAAAAACAAGTAAACATACACTGAACGAATAAGTTTGATTTATGACACAATATAAAAACAATATTTAAACGTAGGTGCCTATATAACAGCATATATATAAAGTTGTATTATTTGCTGATTGCTAGAGATTATTTAAATTACGCTGCAGATACCCATATCTTATTCCACATTAATACAGTTGAATGGTAGATTGTTGTAAACTCAAAATTGTTAAGCAATTGTCTTTGAAGTCAATTATGAAAATATTAAATAGGGAAAAAAAAGAGTAAATTGAAATCCAGTCAATAACACAAAAGTCTCAAACTTTCTGAACCAAGTCTCATATATATAAACAGTTTTCGTAGTTGTAGCGAAAAGTAAAATAACAAAAATACCGAACTCCAAAGAAAATTCAAAACGGAAAGTCCCTTATCAATTGCAAAATCAAAAGCTCAAACACATGAAATGAATGAAAAACCACTGTCATATTCTTGACTTGGTATAGGCATTTTCTTATGTAGAAAATGGCGGATTAAGCCTGTTTTTAATAGCACAATAGCACTATTTCCAAAGTTCATTCACTTCTTGATTTAGGACTGAGCTGTTTGGGCACTTGATCAGAATTGTGCTGTATTCGGTGCTAGTTTGCGAAATCTGTCTATCTGAAAGCGGGATAGATTATTACTTATGTTATTCTGATATCCTGGAATATGTTTCGAGCTAAAATAAAAATAATATTTACACGCATAATAGGTAAGTTCCCTCATTAATTTCCTCATTTGCATAAACAACCCTTTTTGACTACTGTAGCTTCATTGTCACATCAGAAGAAAATCCAATTTGTTGTCCAATGTGAACTCTACAATATAGCTGATACTACAATAGGGTTTCATTTGAGAATAGCCATTTAAAATTTTTTGTCTGGATAAGCAATGTCTGATGGCCATGATGAATAAAACCATTCTCCTTTGAAATATCCAAAAAAATCTTTTGAAAGTTGAGGCATCTATGCTAAGTTACATTTCATAACTTGAATTAATTAGTCTTAAAAACATTTTCGCACCATTCCAGCTAGCCAGAAAAGCACAGAAAACTATAGGTCAACAGGGCATTCCTTATCTAGTTTGATATAGTGATGCAAAACATTGACAGTAGTGGACAGTCCTATGAGATAAGAAACAAAAGGTCTACCAGGTAAACTGACTCGTAAAGCAAAATTTAAATGGCCAATTGACTTTATCAAGGGGCTGTCGAGCAGTATTTATATTTAAACTTTTTTCTGGAAGTAATTTCTCATATTTAGCTATAAAGATGTTAATTCCTTTGAATATCATCATCATTAATTTGTCACTGGACGTTAAACAGCCATCCATCCTTCCATCCATCCATCCCATTCAAGACAAAAAGGTGTCACTGACTTGGATTGGCAAATTTTAAATGAATCGGACATGTCAAACTTGAACATCCAGGAGTTTTAAATTTCAAATAACACCATTGACATCATCTATTCCTTCAAAGTACATGGATCTTTCCATTAGATCATTAATGCTCTAATGGTTATACTCCTTATATGGTGAGCATTAATTCAATGTTAAGCGTTTTTTACTTGAATATTTTCCATCTGCAATAGTTATTGGGCGTACCCTACAATTTTCAAAAGGTGTGTCTTTAAAAGGTAAATACAAGAAACTTTTATGGACTTGTTTATCTATCAACTTAGAAACCACTTCTGGTAGATACACTATGCCTACATTCTTTTGCTGGTAAATCTGTTGTTGCTACCAAGGAAGCAAACCTTTCTAATAGCCATTACACAAACGATTTACAATTGTTTTTGTCAGGGTGAGAGAATAATTTTTGTACAAATTTATTTACATTAATTGGAGTAGTTGCCTGATAAGGAAAAGCATGTAGTCATTACCGTACTTATTTGTTGCAGTACTTGTTTTCTCAAATTTTGGAGCAGGGATAATTGTACATTACATAGTTTGAACTTCTGTTCTACCTAGAGAGGGAAAAACCTTTCGACAAGCTAATTCTGTATGAACAGATATTTAACATCTACTACAGATGTGCAGTATTGAAATTATTGCACTCCTCTTTGTTAGAATGATAATCAACATCCTGATCGTCAATGATTTACCTATGAATAGATTGAGATATTATCATGATTGTGTCAACATCAAAATATTCACCAGAACGCACTCCAAATGAACAATTTCCAATGTGAGTTCCTCATATGAAAGATGTATGCTATGCATTTTTATGTTCCCCTGTTAGAAGTGTGGGGTTCACTGCTATTTTAAATCCCTGTATTATTATACGACTGTTACAGTAGTAATAAAGGTGAATTCTTTATTCGTGTCCTGAGTCTTGTCTTTGTTCATCAATTGATTGAAAGTCTCTTGCAATACACTGAACTATGTTTTTGTGATTCAGTTTTTGCTCTTGTCCATCATTTTCATTTTTAACCATTTGATACATTGTTGTTGTGTTTATGCACTGATTCCTAAAAGTAATCGGTACTATGCTATCTGGAAAATAATCTGTGTCAATCTCATTATTACCAAAATTGTCTGTATGTTGTGTATCTTCCATAGGTGTTACTTACAAGTTTAAAACTACGACACTATTTGAGCAACAAATTAGTCTTTTAACTTCGAATTCTGCATTTACAAAACAACTGGATACTACAGGCAGCATGTATTGGTTTTTACTACACAACTTCTTAATGACATATTCTTAAATGGGAGGAGCTAGACTGCACTCATGTTTATATACAAACAAACAAAGGACAAAAGAAAGTTAAATGCCACTATTGGAAACTATTAACAAAGCATGTATATTTGTATTGAAATTGATG